CTCCTCTCCTCTCCTCTCCTCTCCACTCCATGTGCAGGAGTTGTGAGGAGGAGTTGTGAGTAGGACACCCATGTAAAACACCAAGGTCAGTGGAAGAAAAGGAGGAAAGGGGGGAGAACACTGGAACATAGACACCACCACCACCACCCCCCCCCTGCAGCCCATGGTGAGGCAGGCTGTGCCCCTGCACCCATGGAGGTCACTGGTGGAGCAGATGCCCACCTGCAGCCTGTGGAAAACCCCACGTCAGAGCTGGTGGCTGCACCCAAAGATGGCCGGGACTCTGTGGGATGCCCACAGTGTTGTATTTCAGTGCTGGGAGGACTTTAACATGCAAGAGTGACCCGTGATGGAGCAGTTTGAGAAGAATTACAGCTCATGGGAGAGACCCAGGCTGGAGCAGCTCAGGAAAAGCTGCAGCCCATGGGAAGGACTCCTGTTGGAGAAAGTTCATGGAGGACCGTCTGCTGTGAGAAGGACCTCACACTGGGGCAGTGAAGAGTATGAGGAGTCCTCTGTCTGAGGAGGAAGGAGTGGTGGGACTGACTGTAACCTCATCCTCTGGCCTTCTGTGCCACCAGTTGGGGAAGGAGGTAAAGAAATCAGGAGGAAAAGCTGAGTCCTGGAAGAAGGGAGGGAATGGTGGGAGGGTGTTTTTAAGATGTGGAAATACTTCTTACTGTTAAGTAGTGTTGTTAGTGTTTGAATTTAACTTTTGATCTTTTTTCTTCCACAATTGAAGTCTTTCTTTTGCCCATGACCATAATGGATGAATCATCCCTTCCTGTTTTTACCTTGATTCCAAGCCTTTTACTTTATTTTTTCCTTCCCATTTCTGAAGGGGAAAGGGATGGGTGAGTGGCTGCATGGTGCCCTGTTGCCCTCTGGGCTCAAGCCATAGTACTTGCCTTTGAGAATAGAAGGTTATTCATACAATTACCAACAGCTATTTAAATACAAATGTAAGTAAGACAATTTAAGTATTTTAAGTAATCTGAGCATGACAGAAAATCATTGTTATTAAGATTTTGATTTAAAAAATATTTTATGCATACATACAGTTGGATAGATCCTTGGCTGGATTTTATGCTTAACTACTGAACACAATTGGGGATAGTCAATCTTTATGAAATAAAGATGTTAATGTAGAATCAGGAAAGACATCCTCACACCCAAGTAAAATTACAGAAAGTACACATATTTTATGGCAAACAGATAATCCCCTCGAAAGATCTCTTTCTGGCTTGTGAAGGTTGCAACCCATCTAGGTAGGTTGCAACCTACCACAAAGACCATGACAGATGGAAGGAAATAGAGCTTGAAGGCAGGGCATTTAGCAAACTTTTTGGCAGAGTAGAAACTGCTAGGTAAAACTGACCAAGCAACAAGAGAAGTTGCTCCACCCTACGTGTGAATGTAATTGTTTTTTTTCTTTTACAAACCATGGTCAGTCACAAGAGCAGTCCATAGCAAGTATGACAAGGAGAAAATTAATACACAGGCAATGAGTCTAACTTTATGCTATGCTATGTTTATATCTTGACCAACAGAAGTATAAATATGTATTTTTAGTGCTGTTACTCAAACATTGACATCACCTTCATCTGTTTAGGCCTCATTCAAAAGCATGTATTCCCACTAAAATTGTGTGAGCAGACAAGAAGGGTTGGCACTTACTGGCTACAAATGCTGGAAGTTGCAGCAGAGGTGCCAGGAGAAGAAACCATCAAGGACACCTGGTATACCCAGTGACTTTGTAAGCATACAGTCTCATAGCAGTCAGGGCAAACAACTGAGCATGGCAGACTCTCTGAGTAGCAGTATCTTCTTCATTCCTCAACACAGTATTTTGCGGCAATCATTATCACCACCACCATCATAATTTTATGCTGTATATATTCTATATTGCTGTGAACATGTCTAACTTAATTTATTCTTGACATTGATGTGATTTAAAAATGCAAAGAAACATGAAGATTATGTATTTTTCTTTTCTAATTCTGAGCACCATTCCACATAACTCAACCTCCTCTCAAAGCCTGAAAATATTGATGGGCTTAGCAGTAGATTTGAAAAGCAAGCCCACATGTGTCTTCTTAAAAAACAACGTGCTACCAGCAGCCTCAAAGAAGACAGTCTTAATAGATAGACTTAATTAATAAACATGTCATATAGAAGCTGTCTTGGGGATTCAGAGACCACTGTATAATGCCTGTTTTTTTGACTTGTAGGACATTTCAATATGAAGTATAAAGAAAAAAATTTACGAATGAAACTGATAGCAGCTTCACCTGCAACACATCAATACCAACTGCCTGTGAGGAAATAACTTATGCACAAGAGAACTGTTGAAGAAAAACCATGTTTTATGAGCCTATGTGGATCAATATAACAAAAAATTAATTTCATTCTCCGCCATTCTCAGAAAGAGAAACTACTGGAAAAACAAAAAGACAAAGTCATCCCTTGGCCTCATCTTTTCAAAAGTGTCATATATTTTATGTGACAATTTCTGAACACCCAAATTTGATCACTAAAGACCCTGTTGTAAGATGTGCTTACCTGCAGTTCTTACTGGAGTCAAAAATTAATCCCAATTACAAACTTTTATAGAAGTCAGGCCTACTTTTAGAATATGGGAAGTGAAGGGCATGGACCATTGCTGAATGTCTACCAAATAAAAACAAATCAAAAGAATATACTGAAATCCAACCTGGCACCTTTTGTAAAACAAATGTTAAATATAATTTCTGAAGGGTCATAAGAAACAGTTCAAGATTTTTTACTGAGAAAAGCTTGTGATTGAACTACACGCCATAAGAGACAACATGCCCAATGGTGTTACTTTCTCTGACCTTACCACTAGTGGCTTTTTTGAAGGTCAAGGCTAGTTGTATCATCATTTGTTTCTTTGGCTGGGTAGATAACAGTTTCTACTACATTGAAGAGATTTTATGGAGTATTCATAGCAGTAAAAATCACATGTAAAAGCCTGAAAGGTGAACACTGTTCACATCAGATGCTCACATTACTTTTAGCTGAGCTTCAGATTACTCATGCTGTACTCACTCATGTGTAGGTAAGTCTACTCTCTGCATAAATCTCTAACTGCTGCTTTCCAACTTCATGTGCTGTCATTTGACAGCCTAATGGTATTTTTTTAAAAACTATTTAATTCAAACAATTTTGAAAGTCGGCAATGTGGGGAGTGAAGCAATGCCAGCAAGCTAGGACAAATCAAATAATTCACAAGAAGATATTTTAGCATATTATTTAAATATATCCAGCATCCAGAGAAATGTAACATTATTCTATGAGATATTACTATGGTGATGCGAAAGAGAAAAATTAATTTAACTGTACATACAATTAATTCAAATCTTATGAGGATAAACTTCAGGAAATGAACCTTATTTTTTTTAAAAAAAAAGGTCAATATAATCCCATATTATTTTTATGCAATATCTATGATTCTATAAAATAAATAACAGTAACAGCAGTGGAGAGGGTTATCTATCTGTCTGCAATGTCGCCTCTACTTATAGGAAAATATAGTACTTATCACTGCATACAGTGTCAGCCAATACTTACAGAGGGCCTCTCTCATGGATTGTACTGCTTTTATATAATAAAGATTTCTGAGTGCACTTTATCTGCTAATAGATTATTGATAAATACATACCACCTGCATACTTCAGTAGCAGTATACATAGTTTTGTCAACAGAATTTTTAAGTATCCATCCACTTCAAAGAAAAATACAAATACATGTTGTCAAAGTTTTTCTTCTTAGATTCTTTGCTTTGTAAAGGCAACAAAAAACCAAAACCTTAC